GATATACTTCACACGCCATACAAGTCACCCATTTAAAGTGTACAATTCAATGGGTTTTAGTATAGTCACAAAGCAACCATAACCGCTATCAATTTTAGAGCATTTTCATCACCCCCAAGGGAAACCCCATACTCATTAGTAGTCATTCCCCATTTTTTGCACCCTCTTCCTCCCTCCAGCCCTAGGCAACCACTAATCTATTTTCTGTTTCTATAGATTTGCCTATTCTGGACATTTCATATAAATGGAGTCACACAAGAGTCTTTTGTGAATGACTTCAGCCACTTAGCATGTTTTCAAGTTTCATCCATGTTGTAGCATGTACCGTACTTCTTATTGCCAAATAATATTCCATCAATTGGATATACCACATTTTATTTATCCATTCATCAGTTGATAGATATTTGGATTGCTGCTACAAACATCCATGTACAAGTTATTGCATAGGCATGTCTTCAATTCTCTTAGGTTTAGACCTCAGAGTAGAATAGCTGGGTCATATGGTAACTGCATTATTTCTTTGATAATTTTGACTCCTGTTTTTTCTGCACTCTCTTCTGGAAAGGATATTGATTAGATATTGAACCTTCTGCATTTATTCTCTTTATTTTTCTCTTTTCTAATTTGCCATCTCTTAATCTTTTTGTTTTACATTTGGGAAAATTTCATATTATCTTCCAGCCCTTCTACTGAATTTATTTCAACTTTTACACCTTTAGTTTTCAAGAACTCTTTCTTGTTTACTAAAGATGTTTTAATATCATGTTTTTTCTTTTTTTTCTTTTTTTTTTTTTAATGGATGCACTATCTTCTCTTATCTCTGGGAGGATGGTAATTATTCTGGCACTTTGTTTTGGATTTATGTCTTTTCTTTGAGATCCTATTTTCTCTTTCCTTTTTGTTTTCATTCAGTTAACCAACATGCATTGAGAAACTATCCTATGACAGTCACTATTCTAGGTGCTTGGGATACATCAGAGGACAGAACAGAGATTCCTACCTATGTGGGATTACCAAAGCCTCTGTCTTTGGAGGCTTCCCTCAAATGTCTGGTGAATCTCAATTTGTGTGTGTGTGTTTCTTTAGATAAAACTTACATAAAATGCAGAAATTTTAAATGCATTGCTCAATGAAATTTTACATATGTATACAGCCATGTAAGCACCACTCAACTCAACATAAAGAACATTTCCCTTACCCGAAAAGGTTCTGTGTCCATTCCCAGTTAATATCTCACCTCTCCCCATAAGTAACCACCACAGATTAGTTTTGCCCATTCTGTGATTTCATACACAGTATGTACTCTTTTGTGCCTGGCTTCTTTCATTCAATATAATGTCTGAGATTTAATTGTTGTATCAATAATTCGGTTTTTTAAATTCCTGTGTAGTATTTCATTATGTGTATATGCCACAATTTACTTTTTCATTCTACTACTGATGGATATTTAGGTTCCTTCCAGTTTTTAGTATGCCCATTCATTTTTGAGAGTGAAATACAAAAATGCTTCTGGGAGTGAGTGGGGCTAAGTGAGTGGGGCTTAGAGACTAAACGGCTCCACAGTAGGGTGATTAGATTGGCAAGCTGGATAAGTGGTTTGGGACCACCAAATATCACTATCTGTATATCGTTTCCCTGGGGTTGTTCAGTTTCTCAAAAGAAGGATCATCCAAGGTGTGAGCCAGGCTGCCAGTATTCTGGAACCTCAAGTCTTACCATTCCAATGCAGAATTTCATTTTGACCACTTTTTGTTTGAGTTTCACCCTTCCTCTCCAGGGCCTCTTTCAGTTTTTCCAGAAAACAAGGTCCTTTGGCAGAGGCAATTACTGACAGTGAGTGGAGGGGATGAGGACACGATCTCATTTTTAGGACCCTCCATCTCATGTTAGCCTTTTGTGGTGTCCTCCATCTCTCAGTTGTCTAGAGATTCTGGGGGTGAATTGGATTTTTCTTATTAATGTCTCTCTGCAGACACTTACGTTTGATCTCCCTCTGATCTGCTAATTCATTACTCTTTCCTCCATACACTTTCCTTCTTCATATGCTATGATTTGGGGCAACAGACCTCCTGGTTTCATCAAAAGTTGAGTGTTTCTCTTTCTTGTAATTGCTATTTTGGGGTAAATGCTACACAAAGAGGAAAATGGATTCAATAGATTTCCACTTCCTTTCCCCTCCTTTGTTGAAGTTAATGGCTCCTCACCACCAATTCTAAGAGCTGAAACTGCCTATCTCTTTGGGTTCACCTGTAGCCAGTCTCTTTAGACAAGATCCATATATACTCACCTGATGGTCCTCCAATACACCATACTCTCTCACAACCCCCTGCTTTGGTAAATTCTCTTCACACTACTGGGAATCTTCATCCCTGATTATATGTCTAAAATATTCAGACTGCTCAAATGTCGCCTCCTCCATAAAGATTTCCATGACTTCTGCCCAAAGTTCCCCATGCATACATCTATACAGCATTTGCTGCATCACATGATCGTTGTTCACATGCTCCTTCTCCTCACTAGAATATGAGATTCTTGAAGACAATGTTTACCCCATGAGTTTTCATTTCCTTTATCAAACCAAGTAATAATAGTGCTGATAGAATGCTCACTATGGACACTACATGCCAAGTACTAGTCTAAGGACTTTATATTATGAATTCATCTACTTCTCATAACTCTGAGGTAGGTTTTATCATCACCTCTGTGTTACATGAGAAAACTGTAGCACAAAGATGTTAAGTAACTTGTCCAACGCTATTTAATAATGGTAGTGCAGAAATATGAACCCAGATGATCTGGCTCAGAGAGTAGGCTCTGAACCTCTCTGGCTTCTGAACTGAGTAGGTGCCTAACATGTATTTGTTGAATGGATGAATAAATGAATGAAGGTGGATAGGGAAAAACCAAGGCTTCAATAGAAGTCAAAAAAACTCAGTCTCAGAGATAGCCACATTTTGAAGCAAATGAAAAACCTGATTTTATTGACCTTGTTCTCTATGCAGCCCAAGCCATGAAGACACAGGAAAAGAGGTCTAGGGTAAGATTTCTGTTGTCTAGTGTTATGGACTGAATGTTTGTGTCCCCTCAAAATCCATATGCTGAAGCTCTAACTCCCAGTGTGGCTCTATTTGAAGATGGGGCCTCTAAGGAAGTAATTAAGGTTAAATGAGATCATATGGGTGGGGCCCAATCCAATAGAATTAATGCCCTTATAAGAAGACACTAGCACTCTCCCTATCCTCCATCCTGCAGGAAGGAAGCGAGACCTTGCCAGAAACCGAATTTGCTATCACCTTGATCTTGGACTTCAAACCTCCAGAACTATGAGGAATTAAATTTCTGTTGTTTAAGCTACACAGTCTGGGCTATTTTGTTATAGTAACTCCAGCAGACTAATACAGCTCCTATGGCTAAAGTTTGGAAAGCACAGATTTTCCTTCACTGATTTCAGAAACCAGCTGCTTTTATAGTGTTCCCTCTCTTAGAACTGGATTTGACCTTCTTGTGTTGCATTTTTGTGTTTGTTTTTGTTGAAAAGAAATTTTAAGACTCCATCCACTCCAGCCTTCTTTTTACCACAGGGAGGTCAACATTTGATTTTCTATTTTTTCCTTCGACATTCCCTACAACTATAGACTTTCTTAGTTTTCATCATCTTAGCTAGCTAGTTCTTTGTCTAAGCAGAAATTCAATTTCTCTCCTTAAAAATGTATACTTATCCAATATTATTACTGACATCCGCCATGTCTATCTTAGTTAATAATACTAATATATTTTCTTTCCCAAAGGTATTTCATTTGGAACTCTGCTATAACTGTGGAGTGCAAACTTTGGGCTCTCTGAGGGATTTCAAGTTTCAACTGACTGTCTGGGGGCTTTAAAATAAAGCAAACTTCTTTTTTTCAATTATAAAAATTTCCAAATACAGGACTAGAAAGAATATATCCATCACACAGATCCAACATTATCAAGATTTTTGCCTCATTTGCTTAATCTATATCTTTCCCTCTTCTTTTTTTCTTTGCTGACATATTTCAGAGCAAATCTAAGACATCAAGTCATTAAACTCTAAAAAAGGGAGACATTTTCTTATATAAGCACAACACAATGATCTAATCTAGGAAAATTAACAATACTTTCATGTGCAGGCTTTCGAAGTGAAACAACTTATACAGAATTTTACATTATGAAAAAGTTAGCACTGAATTAGAATAGCAATACTCTGCAGCCTCAAAACAGTTTTAAAGTGAAATTTAGTATGCTCTGAAATGCAGGGTGCTGACCTACCATCCTACTAAAGCTGACTCAAGAATGCCTAAGACAACGCTTAAAAACACACAGTATCAAGATTTCAGTCTTCGTACATTATTTTAATAAAAAAGACACTGCTGTGTACAAATATACAGATCTCAAATTGTAACATTAAAATACAGAATGCAATAAAGTGGCTTTGTAAGTTTTCTTCACTGAGACAGACTTTCTGTCACATTTAGACATTTATGACTATTAAGACATAATAAACAAGAGAAGTACAGATTTTCTGACCTCATGATTAGTAAATCCCTCTGCAAATGAATGAAGGTACACAGTCATCAAAAGAGGAAACAGTTGGGAAGTGAGATGGCTCTGCCTACACTGTATTAATCCGAGTAGCAAACACAATAAGAGCTATAAGAAACTAGCTAAATGTTAGAAGTACAGGCAAAATAGCTTTCTCAGACTTCTACCAATGATGATATCCTCGATATATAAACATCCTTAAATGTAAAATAGTTCAGTATGACTGCATCTATATTTGTTCCACAATGACAATTTGTTAACGTATTAATCTGATATATACTTTTGAACTTGAGTCATCTAAAAGAAATAATGAGAAATCCTGAAAAGAAACTATTAGTCCCGAGTCAAATTATGATTAAAAGTTAAAAGGTCTATGGAAAATAAAAATCTGGGAAAGAAACGTTGGCTACACGCCAATTTTTATTTCTAAGAGAAAGTCTTGCACAAATAATAGTCTTCTTCTTTGTCTTACAAAACAAAAACAAAAAATCCTAAAATTAATCCTACAAATCCAAATTAGCTGAACTTGGAGTAACAAAGCCAAAGCCAGTCTTGTCATCTCCACATTAATTTGATAAATCAAACAGCATCAAAAACAAAAAAAATCTGCTTCAGCTCCTGTGCAGAACTGATGACTACCTCCAGCACTTAACTAAAGACAACTGCTACATAGCTCTTTTTTTAAGAAAGATGTATACCCAAAAAACCCAATAGAATATGTTACTCATGAAATTCCATAAAAGCTGTTAAGGCAGCCAAAAGTGGATGGCACTTGACAGTAAAAGTTTGCACTCTTAATGCCCATTGATGGGCTTTGTGTCAATATTCAAAAATCATGCTTTTCATCAGCTATAGATGAATAGTGAGGAAAGAAATACAATATTACACCAGATCCCAGCATAGAGCTACTATATTTCTATAAAGGAATCACTAAAGAGTTATTTGTTGTTGTAAATGAAGTCCTCTGTAGGCATTAGGCTGTACGCTAAATGCTGATAGTGCCTAATTTCAACTCCCAAGATAAACAAAACGAGCTTATGTATCAAGATTAATTCTCTTTGGCCGCAATGGATACCATTTTCTCTGGGGGCAGTCTTTAGTTTGCTTTCTTTTCAGTACTATGTCAGTGGTTGTCCTGGTAGAAGTCTCTGTTGGTGTGGTTTCTATTTGTGTTATAAGGTTCTCAGGTTTAACATCTGGTTTCCCGTAACAACTGGAAAAGACTTCCTGGTGGACTCTCTGGAGCTGGATAATAGGCTGCATCTTTAAAACTTGGGAAAATCCATCTCCTTGTTCAATTAATGCAGGCAAGGACTTAAAAAAAAAAAAAGAAACAAAAAACAGTTATACGCAACATTAGTCTCAAGTTACAACACAAACACACAGAGACAGGCAGGATACTCCAGAATTTTAATTCCTCGGGTCAAGGTTTTTTCTAAGACCTAATTTTTTGGGTCATAGATATTCGACTTTACCTTAAAATACCAGTTTTAGCTGAGGAGTTTTAGCCAAAAGCTAAGACTAAAAAGATAAGTTCTATTCCTACAATGCCTGGTAGTAAATAACACTTTGGCAAACAGGAGACAGAATTTCAGAGCTAAGGATTTAATGTCTGAAATTACATATTTTAGGATAGTAAGTATTTTAGAAATCTCAATCATCAAGAGCAGGGATCAGCACATTTTTCGTGTAAAGGGCCACATAGTAAATATTTTAGGCTCTGGGGCCTTACGTCTTTGTCACAATTATTCAACTTAGCCATTATAATAGTTAAAGAAGCCACAGACAATAAGTAAATGAATGGACATGGCTGTGTTCCAATAAAATTTTATTTACAAAACAGGTGGCAGGCTGGATTTTAGCCTGGCCCACCACAGTTTGCCAATTCCTGATCAGGAACATGCTAAGAGAGAAGCATGAGCACCAGAAAGCCATGGAATCAATACAAACCACAAAAGAATGTTATAGAAAATTATCACAACAGGGGAAATTCAGGAGTTTAAAAATAATTTTCATATACTAGAAATCCAAATGTTTTCCTGTTTGGGTAAGATCAATGTCAAGAATATAAGCAATTTTATTATCATAATATTAAGACTCCAAGTTGGATATGCCGTATAATATAGCGGTTAAGAGTACAGGCTCTGGAGCCAAACATCCAGGGCTTAAATCCTGGCTCAGTCATTTATTTGGGCAATCATCTTAGCCTCAGTAAAAAAGGGAAACAGCAGTACCTATCTCACAGGGTTACTGTAAGGATTAAATGAGCTAATACATGTGAAGTACTTAGGTGCTGCCTGACCCATGCTAAATGCTCACTAAATGTTAGCTGGTATTACTATCCAAAATTGTTTGATGGACTGCTAACTCTCAGAACGCACATATATAACCAACCTTTAAAGAAGCCAGGTATAATACAGGCACATAGTAGGTGCCTAATAAATGGTAGTTATTCTGAATATTACTGTCGCTTAATAAATTCATTAAAGATCTATTTAAAAGACTGAGAATTCCTGTTACAACAGACTAAGACACATATGGATGTTGAAAGCAAACACTTAGCTATACATGTCCGTCACTTTATAATTTTTTAGCATGTAGCTTTTACCTTCATGACTTCACTCATCTCCTTAGCTATTGTTTCTCCTCTGCATTTCAAATTTTCCATACATGAGGCTGCAAAGAAATCGCCAAACAGTATTTTAGGTTTTTTATCTAGTACCAAGTCATAAAAGACATGCAGACGCTACCTGGAGAACAATCTGTTCGGACTATTCACCTTAGCTCAATCTTTCTTAGAATACTTTGTAATCTATTAAAACAAGTGTCCTATTAAATTTATCTAGATAAATAAAAAGACTGTGAAAATATTACAACAGTAGAGTAAAACTAATACTTACAAGCATAAGATGACAGATAACAAGAGTTGATTATAAGTAGTCTTAACACTGTGTGCTCCTAAAAGAGAGACTGTTCTATATATTATCTACCACTATGTTTAACATCTCCAAGCACTATCATCATATTTTAAAATAAAAATAGGCTAATATTTGACATGTGTATTACTCTTAATTTTTTACAAGTAAAACATATTTGAACTTAGAATATACAATCACGCTGCATCGAGGACACCTAGATGGAATTTCTGGAAAATAAACATCTGGAATAGATTGTCAGTAATATTAATTTTTCTTTCCTTACTTCCTTGATCTTTTCTGATTCCTAATACATTTTAGTTTCTTCCAGTCTTTGTTACAAATGTTCATGACTACCTTCATAACAGAACTGCATACTCAATGATACAGAGGGATAAAAATCCAAAGCAAAATTAGAGATAAGAAAAATCATTTAATTATGAAATCATCTAGAAATTAGTTTTTAGAAGAGCAGTTCTCACCAGAAATTTCTTAAAGTCTAAGCAAGCACCTAACTATGTTAGGAGGGTCACAGCTTTGTTGGCTTCAAGAGACTGGCCAATAAGCCAAGAAAAGAATTTCTTTCATAGCTGCTATTCTTTTCTGACTTTACTTCGCTCAAAAAATTGAGAACACAGAAAAAAAGGAAATGAATAGCAAAAGCAACTGAGAGAAAGAGGGCACTCAGAAGGAGAAAGGCAAAGACATCACAATGGCCTCAGGAAAATAGTTCTTAACCTTTTTTTTGTTACCAGAGATTTCTCTGGCAATTTGTGAAGCCTATGGACCCGTTCTCAGAATATTTTTGGGTATTTGTTTTTTAAATTGAAGTATAATTTACATGTAGTCAAATGTAGATCTTAAATTTAATACTCAATCACCTTTGACAAATGTATACTGAGACACGGGACACCAAGACACTTTCCATCACCCCGGAAAGTTCTCTTATGCCCCTTTGCCAGTCAATCTTCTCTACAAGAAGCAACCACTCATCTGATTTCTATCATTATACATTAGTTTTGCTTACTCTAGAATTTCACAATAATGTTTTAAAATAAAACTTAAAAATTCTATTACTGTGCCAGCCCCGTGGCTTAGCGGTTAAGTGCGCGCGCTCCGCTGCTGGCGGCCCGGGTTCGGATCCCGGGCGTGCACTGACGCACTGTTTCTCCAGCCATGCTGAGGCCACGTCCCACATACAGCAACTAGAAGGATGTGAAACTACGATGTACAACTATCTACTGGGGCTTTGGGGGAAAAAAATAAATAAATAAAATTATTTAAAAAAAAAAATTCTATTACTAAAAAATTTTGAGAGGTAATTTAGTATTCTTGGCCCCTGACTAGAAGCCCCTGTGCTTCTTTGAAATAACAAGATCGAGTGGCAGGTCTAATAATTACCATAATATGAAAATAATGGGTATAAACAATATTGTGATATATCTGTAACAACTGAAATTGAAAATATCTGTGGCTTCAAGTAGCAACAAAAGTTTCAGGTACTCCTAATACTATCAACATTACCTGCATTCAAAATTGAAGGAAATGCTAAATTTCAGTTTGAGGTTAGTAAAAATAACAATGTAGTTTTTCCTATCTAAGTTCATAGCCCCCTCATATTCTAAGGACTCTTGCCTTAGAATAATAAGCTAATTTAATTTCAATTCTTTTAAGATTTGGGGAGATCCCCCAAAAGCACTCAGGCAATTATTTTTTCCTGGGTATGGCAAATAAATGATCCATCCTTTGGTACTCTTGTGGCAATCTGGCTTCCAGGCAGGCCCACACTCACCTTCTCCCCCTCAAACTTGCACATCGATGTGAGAGTTGCCCATTCTTCCAATGTTTATTACATATTTTACCAGCACTAGGTACTCAGCGTAAGGAAAAATGGTCTTTGCCCCTCAAAGAACTTTCAATTTAGAAGAGAGAGACACATAGAAACACGCAGAAACAAGTCAGTATTTTTTCAAAATCAGCTCATTTTCCTGGGCAGTCTCACATTTCCACAAGCCCTGCCACACATTCCACCCCTTGCCTGAACTGACCACTGCCCTGCTACAACAAGCTCCCACTGTGTCCTGAACAGTCCTAGCAGAATACCTGCAAGACTTCATTGCACTAATTTGTTTAGAATATGTTTCTCAAGCCTATCGGACCCAACCTCCCCCTTTAGAATATATTTTGTAAAGCTCCTTTACTATTCTAAAATAAAATTCATAGACAATATTTCTATATACATAAATAGAAATATAAAGGAGAAACAGATATTTACCATAATAGAATATTATTTAATATGTTTAATATGCCTAGATCCACCTATACCAGAAGATGTAATGAAGTATTCAGATACTTGTACCTATTTACATCAAGTAAATTTGGATTTAAGAAAATTTATATCAGAAGCCACTCTATATAGAAAAAGATCAGAAGTATGGGTAGAAAAACTAGTGTTGTATAAGAAATAATAGATTGGATTTATTTGAATACAATAAGAAGGAAGAAATAATCTTAACAGAGTATATTAACATACCAAGACAAAGTACAGGCTGTTAAAATAGTGAAAATTAGGAGCTCCAATATTTCTACAAATGAGACGGCCTTGTTAGAAGTGTTGTGTCAAGGGGCCGGTCTAGTGGCATAGTGGTTAAGTTTGCGTGCTCTGCTTTGGCGGCCCGGGGTTCACAGGTTCGGATCCTGGGCACAGATCTACGCACCGCTTATCAAGCCATGCTGTGGCAAGCATCCCACGTATAAAGTAGAGGAAGACAGGCATGGATGTTAGCCCAGGGCCAATCTTCCTCAGGAAAAAAGAGGAGGATTGGCAGCAGATATCAGCTCAGGACTAATCTTCCTCACCAATAAAAAAAAAGAAAAAAAAGTGGTGTCAAAATAATTCCCTACATTACAACATAGGAAGGTGTAAGATTATATCCTACAGAAAACATATTTCCTACTCTGAAATTCCACCTTAATTCAGGCTACTTTCAGTATATGCATTCACTTAAAAAGACTTTAGAGATCATACCATTGAAAGGCAATGGAGTATAGAGGATGGATTAAGCAAAAACATGAATGTGAGAAACTATAGAGAAAATATGTGATTGACCTATGTGGACAGATTCAGAGTAAGATTAAAGACAAGCAATCTAAAAATACAATTAAATTTTTAATAGATTTTTTAATATTAAAATTTTAATATTCACATTTCTTAGAGTACAAAAATATAATTTTTAGTATTTAATGTGGCAATAATAGGAAATATTTTCAAATCATTTCTATTAATAAAAAGAATGAGATTCCTGCATGTTGTGTATTTCTATTCATTAACATTTGGTTCTAGTCCTATTAAAAGGACTCACAAATCTTCTATTACATATTTCCCATCAGCTTTGTTGCTTTTCTAATAACTATATACTGTACCAAAACTCTTTGCAATTAAAAATGTTGGAAATGCTCTAAGTAATTCATTGTGTTTTGAAAAAAAGGGAGTATGAAAGTCCTAACTGAATCTAAAACACTTCATAGTTAATGATAAAACATAGCTCTGGTTGCAAAGATTTGTTTACTTTGTTTCTTTTTAGTTCAATTTACCTTTCCTGCACATGTTAACTAACAGAGATAGAAAGAATACTTGAAGAAATATGATGATGTAAGTCAGAATAGTGGTTACCTCTGATGGCAGCAGAATACTGAACAGAAAGGAGCACAAGAAAACATTTCTGGGTACTGGAAACGTTATATACAGTGTCTGTAAAGTTGGAAAGCAGGATAAATGTGTCAGTTACATTTTCAAATAATATACTCAGTATCTTTTTCTTCAACCTCAAATTGCCTTTTCAGGTGAAATACTTCTAAATTTAAAGCAATGGGTCCAATTGTTAATATGTAAAAAATACAATAAATACACTATTTTCCCTATGTTCTCAGATTTTTTTGGACACTTTGGATTGTATTTATTGTACACATGAAAACATAATGGGCACATTATTTGAAAATATAACCAATATACTGTTTAAACATAAGTTTATCCTGTTTCCCAACTATGTAGACACTCAGTATATCTCGATCACGGGGGCAGTTACATGTGTTTACGTTTATTATGTATATACGTTCAAGTTGTGTTCTGTATGTTATACCTCGATATATACACACATACACACAATAATGAACAAAATCTTTTTTTTAATATAGTACGCTCTCTTTTTTTTTTAATTTACTTATTTACTTAGTGTGTGTGAAGAAGATCAGCCCCGAGCCAACATCCATGCCAATCCTTCTCTCTCTGCTGAGGAAGACTGGCCCTGAGCCAACATCCGCGCCCATCTCCCTCCACTCCATATGGGACGCCGCCACAGCATGGCCCGACAAGCGGCACGCTGGTGCACGCCTGGGGTTCCGAACCAGGGCCACCAGCAGCGGAGCGCACGCACGCACGCAACCGCCACGCCAAGGGGCCGGCCCCCCAAAATCTTTTTTAACATTTACTCTAGAAAGTTATCTTACTTTTATATATAGGGTAAGGCAATTATATTCTTAATGCAATTGTTATTGCATGATTTACAAAATAATCTATCATCTAAGAGATTCTTAATTTTGTTATAAACACGTGCCACCTTCAAAAAATTTCTCTATAAACCCACACTAATGGACAATAGCTATTTTCTCTGTTGCACAATGACAATGTAAAAAGTGCCAAGAGTAGTTTGGTTTTATGTATAAAATGTAGTTAGGTCCCAGGCTTGGATAATTATAAACAGA